AGCATTATATGAGTACTATAACTGGTAAAAAAATCATAATTCTCTTAGGTGTTATTGAAGTACGACGATAAAAGAGAAATTAGGTCTTCCGGTCAGACGGGCCACTCTTATATATATAAATACTATATGTGAATATAAATTCAAATTCTTCATGTACTAAAATACATTGAAAGTTTGAAAAGTTAGCTTTTTAGCATAAAAAAGATCACAAACAGGGATTTTTGGTCGTTGAAAATCTCATTTCCTAAGCTTTTTAATGTACACACAGACACTAATGAGGACCGATCTCTTTTGTTTCCATTTATTCAACGGGATTGCAAATGAATCGGTATGATTTTCAGTGATTGCATCTACTGATTCCGAGTGACTCTATTGACTCCATGTGACTCTATTGACTCCAAGTGACTCCATTGACTCCAACTGACTCTATTGACTCCAACTGACTCTATTGACTCCGAGTGATTCTATTGATTCTATCATTATAGAATCAGCTTTTTCCCCCTTGGATCAAATGCTATTGAACACTATTTAAGCAATCAGAATATTTATGGAGAAAATTTCGTCAAGTCTTCTATAAGGTGTTAAAGTACTACCGCTACTAACCCTAAGTACTTCAAGTGAAAACAAAACGAACTATTTTATTTACGTTTAGGTCAAAATAAGTACTTCTAATATTAAAATAACTTTATCAGAAGAAAGTAAGATTATTTATGAATAAAAAAGAATCAAGTATTAATATATAATTAATTAGTTGTAATATTAATTATGTATTAAATTATCCAAATATAAATTGGAAATCAATTCGTATTAATTCATCAACACAATCATATATTTTAAAAGTCCTTTTGTTTTGTACATCGATACAAAAACTAATCAAATTTTATTTTTCTAATTTTACATGTAATGACATGAAAATCATATTTAATATCTGTATTATCAGTCGTTAATAATGTTGATGTATTGGTCCAGCAAGTGAAATAATTAAAGTTCGTACACTTGAAGGCACAGCAATACGTACGCGAACAATTATTCAATCTGAACCAGTTAATTTTGTAGCAATTATGATTAAATGGCAAGGTTCATCTTTATCATAAATTAATGAAATTCTGAATTCATTTAAAGCGAGACAAATTTACAAACTAGATAAATTGAATAACTAAAGTTTTTTTATTTGGTTTTAGATTGAATTTATTGATCTATACAAGAAAAAGAGTATTGTTTTCTTGTGTTATGATTATTTCAATGAATTTTCGAATCATTGCAGAATTTTAGTCTGAAATTTTACCTGAAGACAGATCTCAGTGTCATTATTAAATGTTGGAAGTTTCAGCGAAAGCGAATGGTTTCTTCTTCTAAAGATATTGTCCTCTCAAAAGAAAAACTATGTTTTTTTGAATGGTTTGCAAGAAACTAATGATTTTGTATTTCTATTATCTTAAATAAAAAATAGCCAATTCTGCAGGATATTATAAGAATTATGAGAACTATCTTCAAATAGCATGTCAGACTGAAATTGTATGGTTCATTTTTCCTCGTAATATCCAATAATAATCGGAAAATTCTTTAAAATGATCATAATTGAAGAAGAAAGCATTCATGTTATTGATCCTATTCAAACTTTTATCTGCACAATGGACGAACTCGAACGAACATTATCAATTCAAAGAGCTAATAAAAATCAAAGGCTGCTGAGTACATTACAAGGAAATTTTATGTTTAGATTCTTCTGAAACATTCGAGGACATTTCAAATTCTTCGTTGAATTTCCAATGGTCATAAATGCGATAAATAAGCGATTGTATGATACATGGCATTAAATTAACAAAGTCCTCATACAATCGAGTTCCAAATTTCAGCATTAATCAATATCATAGTTTCGGTATGTCGTTATGAATATATCAAACGGATATATACATGAAGGAAATTTGTCAAATTGTTAAAAAGTTCACAACAAAATATACCTCCAGTCGCAATACTAAATAAGTAAAGATTGAATGTTTTTCTGCTAGTTGATTATCCCTGAAGATAAATTCTTAAGTTTATGTGTTTCGTATTAGTAAAATGAATCGAAAGAAGATAGCTTGTGATAGTGTTCATAATGTATTGAGTTCACCACAATTTTACCTTACATCTTTCAAGATTCAAACGTATAGTTGATTTTTTTCTCTTTGCTAAATATTTGCTTTTTCAAATAGGCTTATATAGAAATTGTATTCATCGTTCTTTTCTCGTGATAAAATTCTTTTCTTCCAAATCCCTGATCAGCTAGAAAATTTAATATAAATTGGCAATAACTATTCGAAATCAATGGTTATTTAATCGACTATGAAGTCGAATGGTATTAAAATGAATAACACACAATCGAATTTCATTAATAGTTCAATAACTGAAATCGAACCTAATTTAAAAACATCCAAAAAGTGAATAATTTATTAGCAAAAATTAGACAAGGTTTTGATTTAAAACGTCCTGTAGCAATAAAATTTCCACTTAGTTATACTAGTAGAAAAAAATATTTTACGATATAATGTTTAAATCCAAATAAGAAATGGTCGTGTGAAGTGAGCCAAACATGCTAACCAGAAAATTGTGGTTCACTTCATATTGGGAAAATAGATCGATCAAAATGCGAGCCGTTACTTTACCGTCATCAGACCGTTTTCCCAAAACAGAACAATAATACTCACAACCCGGAAGCGTCATTCCCAACACAGAACAAACGTACTCATCTACCCGGAAGTGTTATTCCCATAACGGAACAAAGGTACTCAGTACCCGGAAATTCTATTCCCAAAACAGAACAATGATACTTGCAACCGGGAAGCACTATTCCCAAAACAGAACAAAGGTACTCACTACCCGGAAGTGTCATTCCCAAAACAGAACAATAGCACTTCCGGGTAGTGAGTACTTTTGATCTGTTTTGGAAATGACACTTCGGGTAGTGAGTACCTTTGTTCTGTTATGGGAATGATACTCCCGGGTAGAGAACACTTTTGTTGTGTTTTGGGAATAGCACTTCTGAGTTGTGAGTAGTATTGTTCTGTTGTGGGAAAGATACTTCCGGTGCTAGAGTACTATATATTTACAGTGGGTATAGTATGGGCTAATGGACTCCACTTTGGCTCACGCCAACTTTGGCTCACTTCATACGACCATAAGAAATTATTATTTACAATAGGCAAAATATTCAAGTAAACAAGAAAATAATTTTCTTAAAACTAAAAGAAAAAATTTCAATTAAATATTCTCTAGTCTTTTCATAATTATTGAACAATCAATATTATTTTTTCATAATAGACTTTATCAAATACAAACGTTAGTTGACCATCTATACCGTTTTTGTAGAATAGATGCTTCCAATATAACATGATTTTCAGTCAAAAAGTAGATTCCAACGTTTAGGTTCGAATTATAATAGTGAAAATGTAAAAATTGAAATGAAATTTCTAAGTTCATATTCGGCAAGAGTGTTTCGTTGGAAATCCTTTCTAGTGGGACAAAAATGAACAAACATGTCATATAAAACCTTTCCAATCACACTCGACCAGTTAAGATATATAAAATAGATAGCTTATATAGTTTTTCAATTGTGTATATCTAATAATTTTGACAAATAGCTTTTTTTCCTATTCAAAATCTTAATATTTTTACTGGGATCTGTAGTTTTTGGTTTTAATGAAGTTTTTAAATTCTTGAATGCTGTTGCTGAGGGCAAAAGTGACCAATCCTATAACATTCCATAACTGGTATATGGCTGGCCAGAATATTACTACTTGATACGTCACGAGTTGCTCTAGAAAATGGTATAGATGATTCTATCTATTGAATGTTTGTTATCTGTTTTGACAAAGTTCTTTAAAATGAAATATTCTCGTCCGTTACAACCAACAAATAGAATTCAATCATTAAAAATAGAATTATTCTTTAATAATTTATCATCAGCAAATATTGGAATTGATTCAATAAATGAAACATTTGCTAGAATTCGTTGTGATTAATTAGATTCTATTGACAAATGATATCCATATAGTCAATCGGTTATATTTATAACAGACGAAAGTAGTATGTAATCAAGATTTGTCTTTTTTTGTTTTATGATATAATTTTTTTCCAGTTTCTTCAAAATCAATAGAAGTTTTTTTTCCTGGGGTTGATTATTGATCTGCACGAAGGATATGGCAACCGCTAACGTAATTAAATGAAATTCTAACTGGTGTAACAAACTCGACTTTAGCTGGAAGTTAGTTCATATTTGTAAGAAAATTGTCAAGGATGCTAGCTCTCAAGAGCCAAACGCTAATCACTTATGGGATTATATGAAGGGATAATAGTCTAAGTTAAATGATTGTTTATATAAATTTTTGTAAATGACTAATTTAGCTATATTCAATTTTATCGTTGATTTATTCAAATATATAAGAAAAAATGATTTTCATTTAGAATATGAAATTTTATTCATTTACATGGATCTGAAAAAACAACATTAAAGTTATCTTTTCATTCTTTGTGCAAAAACTTGAGTAATCATTTATTAATAATAGAAAAACAAGGTAGACAGTAAAAACTCTTATTTACTAGGAAAACAAAAGAAAATTTTTAAATCGATCTGTTGCTTCATATCCATCAATAATAATTACATATGAACAAGAACAAACAACATGATAGAAACCCTATGATCGAATTAATGTATCTGATGGATGAATAACAATATTACTTATTCAAAAGTAAAAACCAACTCCTTAATTTTAAATTGTTTTTTTAAAGAAAATCATTCCTCTTTCAGTTTAGTAGCAAAGAAGTTTTCAATTGTAGGACTTTCATCTACTAATCCAATGTATCGACGAAATATTTTGAGAGAATATTTCTTAATTTTTGAAGTCAAAAGTATTTTCACACGAGTCGAATGATAAAAGCTCACTGCTTAGGTATTTTTCGAGTACAATAAAAATAATAATATTGACGAAAACAAAAATTGGTTTTTGACAGAAAATAAGTCATGTGCTAGTGATAGTGTTTGTTCAGATTGAATCATATATGCATATTTTATTTACTACTATCAATATTCAACTGAAAAATTGATTATATATCAGCAAATTAATCATGTGAAATCGAAATTTATCTTAAAGTAGACGTATTGAAGTGATTTTTATTTTCAATTTTTTTTTCTTAATAAAGAATTTTGTTTCAATTGATAATAATACTCGTTTAAAAGTTTCAATTCGATATTATTGATTTAATTTCAATAGAAATATTCATTCGATGGGATAGAAATCAAATTTTATGAAAACTTTTTAATTTTCTATACAATTATTTGGCTTTGTCTTAACGAGTTTTCATGTAATGACAGTACAGCCGCATTCAACAGACTTGTTGATCTTGTGTTTCCAAGAAAATGAATATGTTCATTTGAATAATACACTCTAATCAATTTTCAAAAGTCGTACGAAAAAATAATTCTATGATTTATGATTCAAATTAATTGCTTTTGTTTTTTCGATGATGATGATGAACAGAAATTTCTTCTGATCCAAAAAAAAAGAAAGAAAAGAATATGCATTGTCCATGAAGGACTGTATACGAACAAAGGACAAGTATTCGTATCCATGCACATGAAAAACAATGAAATTAATTCGTGTGTCATCATTTCAATTAATCATGTGATGATTAATTAAATCAATTATATTCGAATGTGCACATCATCGTCAATCATCGTTCGTCAAATTGATATCAACATGATTAGAATGTCTTTGATTGGTAATGTGTATGTTTGAACACATATATATAAGAAACACATTTTCACCAGTATTCTCATACGATTCGATCGAACAAATCGTGAGCATGCTCAATAAAGATAAAACATGACACTTGTATGATTTATTTTTCACGGTTCACAATTTTTTATATTACTTACAATAATTAGTATTATTTTACATTATGATTTTTCATGAATGACATACAGTTATCAATTTATAATTATTTACAATATTATAAATGAAATATATTTGCAATGCTACGTATGAGTTTATAATGAAATTTATTACATAATGTTATGTTAAACCTTTGAATTCTATAGTAGGAAAAAGAAATCTAT